GTCCACCATAGACTTTGTATGTAAACCTGCTGCTCCTGACGCTGAAATCGCGTTCGGTGTGAACGCACCATTAGAGACTCAGAAATGATTTAAAGATGTTATGCTGGTGAAGACTGATATCTAGTGGTCAACTGGGGCAACTACATCAAAACATCCTAATCCAGGTAGAAAAAAAAGTCAAAAAGAAAAAATCAGTAGGTCCTCTTCATCTCTCCTCCAAAAGACTTCTTCAGTCTGATGAGTTTCAGGTGAACTGGGAAACTTTAAAATCCAATGGAAACATGAAAATCTTTAAAATCCAAGCTCTTATTTTGAAGGGAATATACTAGTTTCCTGTTCCCTGTGCTTTCGTTTCCTGTCAGTCCGTCATGTACCCAGAATGCATCGCTTCAGTTTTCCAGTAAACAGTGTTTTAAAATTACTTTATTGAAGCTTCTTTAATGAAAAATCTAGAACAAACAAAAGAAAAAGATAAAGAAGCAGCTGAAATAGCGATCCTCAGCAATTTTTAAAGAATCAGCTGAACTAGCAAGCCTAAAGAAGTTTTTAATTTTTACACCCAGGAGCCAAAGTTCTGTGTCAGGAACTCAGACCCCCAGCATTCGGCAGTTGTAAAACGTGCTGTACAAGGGTTCATAAACCACTAGTGGGTAGCATTRTACATGTAATGTACATGAATTGTAGCCAGCTAGAAAGTGTCAAATTGAACCATGCGCTTTAGAATTAGCTTCCGCTAAAACTTCTACTGCGTAAGCAGTTCTGAAGTTTAACTCAAGATCTGTAAAACTGATTTTACATGTGATTTGGTTGGCTAGGCTTGATTAGCTGTGGCAGCCATTTTGAATTGGGTTGACTTTAAACATTTATCTGTTAAAGCCATACATTCACTAATTACTTTCTAAGATTGCACACAGCAAAATACAGCCAAAACCATTTTTGTCTGCCTTTCATGGTTGTGGGTGAGACAAGTGATCTTCATGTGACCTCTCACTTTTGCTGTTGAAAGTTCTGTCCACTGATGTGCATCGTAAAGTCATAAACTGCTCAAAAATGGCAACAGATAAGAAAAAGCTGAATCACAAGGTCCAATAACTTGTGACCCATGAAAGGTCTTTCTACTGAGAGGTTTGAAGGCAGTAACACTTCAAAGACAAAAAGTCTGAAGACAGTCTGAAGGATTCTCCATCGTTTCTTAGGGGCTCATTTTTGTGCAAATTACATCTCTATGGTAAGTCAAAATCTCAAAACAATTTAACAAAAACTATTAAATATTACTTTGTCCTCTGATTAATATTTAGACCTACAGAGTGTAAAATAATATTATAAATGTCTGATTAATATTTAGACCTACAGAGTGTAAAATAATATTATAAATGTCTGATTAATATTTAGACCTACAGAGTGTAAAATAATATTATAAATGTCTGATTAATATTTAGACCTACAGAGTGTAAAATAATATTATAAATGTCTGATTAATATTTAGACCTACAGAGTGTAAAATAATATTATAAATGTCTGATTAATATTTAGACCTACAGAGTGTAAAATAATATTATAAATGTCTGATTAATATTTAGACCTACAGAGTGTAAAATAATATTATAAATGTCTGATTAATATTTAGACCTACAGAGTGTAAAATAATATTATAAATGTGAGTATTTTTAAGTTTCTGTTAGAGGAACCTGACCTGTTAAGAAGATGTTAGCTAATAGAGACAAGTTTCATCCTATAACTAGAGAACATTTTCTAACTGTTGACTGGTAAATACAAATATTATTATTTTTTATGACAGTAAGAAGAAATAATAAATATACTTTATTACAGCTGAAGTCATCATTTTTCAACTAGCTAAAGTCTAAGTTACAGGCTGACTTCAGGTCTGGTTTAGATCATTGTTACTTATAAATTATATATTTTTCTGGTATAAATCTGCTGTTTTACATGATTGTTGAATGAAATTAACATAGTTATTAATTTATTGTAAAAACATGACAGATAATGTGTGAAACAGATCCAGTTCAGCTGCTGTTTATCTATTAGTTTCTATGTTTGCTGTGAGCTGTTGTCCTGTTTGGTCTGTTTCTGCTCCTCCATGATGTCACACAGTGGAAAGTATGGGCGGGGCTCAGTCTACTGATCTATATATTTAAGTCTATGTTCAAAACTCACCAGACTATCCCTTTAAGAAACCAGTTTAGCAGTGGTGAGTAGTACTGTATGTACCTCCAGTGCAACAATACAAATGCTGAGTGACACTTGGTCGTCCCATGGTGTTGCTCCTCACCTGGTCTCGACTCCATGAGGAGCTGGCACACTGTTTGGTGACGCCCATGCAAAAACAGCGTAGGCAGCCTTCATGGTTAGCCTCTGATAAGTGGAAGAAGCCTGGCTTGCACTCATTACACAGAGAGCCTGCCACATTGTTCTGCAACACACACACAAAAAACACATGCACATTGTGTGGTCAATGGTCTTATCAAGTCCACATGGACTCAAAGCACTTTACACTTTAGACATTTACACATTCACACACTGATGCACACATGAGTAATCCGAATTAAAACAGTGCATCCATACCTTACAGCTGCACAGCACACTGCTAGAGCTGATGGTTCCTCTGTTATCACAGGTGGAGCTGCTCTCTGCAGGGAGGGGACAGCATAAACAAAGAAGACAGACTTGAACCTGAGAGTGTTTCAGCTGGGCTGAATCCCTAACACATGATCACACACTACTGAAAAACATTGTTGGTCAAAACGCAGGATTGCAACTCCCTCATGATCATACTACTGAAGCATTCATGAGCTGCTTCTGCTTTTTTATTCTTGCCTCCAATGTGTGCTGAAAAACTGAATGTGAACACTGACTCACGGTTGGGAACACATTTTCCATTAGGCTGGAGGGGGTTACCATTGTAACCAGGAGCACATCTGCAATAAAAAAACACTCCATTGTCTAACACTAAACACTTTCTTAGTCTTATCTTAAAGTTAGATTGTCTGAACTAGATGCAGCTGTACTGTACAGTTAACAACAGCGTTCGCTCACTTTTCACAGCGCCTTCCTGTGTATCCAGGCCTGCAGGCGTCACATGTGGGCTGCTGGTCAAATCCCAGAAAGCAGGTGTCAGAAAACCTAAATGAAATAAGCAATGAAAGGGTTAAAAATGTCAGATAGAATGAGTTTTGTCTTAAAGGGGAAATATGATGTAAAATCAATGTTTTTGAGTTTTACATCAGGTTGTAATATTATCCTCTCATCAAAAACATGCCCAGAGTCTTGCTTTGACTCATTCATGCATGTTTGAGAAATCCTGTAGTGTCCTGGGGCAGCCAGGGGGCAGGCAGGGGAGCAAAAACCACAGGTTGGGACTAGAACCACCTTTTGGGATCAGCTCCTCCTCTGGGCTGTGTCTCCAAGTCAAGCTTCCTTGAGCCTTTCYCAATCGGTGGCTACACACTCGCCCTACTCACTCCTCACTAGGTTTGTGCGTGCCCATGGRGGGTTGGTCATAGTAAGTCCCATCCGAAACCAAGTATGGACGAGGGCAAGTGGCTTATTAAGCCCTCCACACCRAGTYTGCATCCGGTGCAGACTTGAGCAAATAGTGGTCAACATGGAGCATGGGATGTATAAATATAAGTTCTGCATTTGTTTTGTACACATTTTTAYTAAGTAAACACCTCACCAACAAATATAATTCCATAAAGACTATATAAATCATGTTCAATTCAAACTTTATCAAAGACACAGAACACTGGTCCATATTTAAAAAAAGAAGAAAGGAAAAAATTAAAACATGAAAAGTAAATAAATGATTTAAAAAATGTAAAAGAGCAATTGTTTTGACAATAGGGATGGGAAATCGTCCCTATTTTCAGATCATAAATCATGGTCACTGGCTATCGCCGATAGACGATCCAATCTGCTAATAAGGCATGCGCAGTTACGTTATTAAAAAAAAAAGCAAGCAGGTACGCTTATTACAAGCCACGGCTTCTTTTTTTCTAAATTCGCTTGTAAACTCCGTGGTTATTCGGCGTTCGCACATACATTTCATAGTTCCTGAGACCCCCCGCGCCATGCTCCTGGGAAACCCCCTCCCCGCTGCTGCATACGTCACTACAGGGGATTTCTACACGGAAGGAATCCAATGTGGAAAAAAAGTCTGACACTTGTCACTCGACGTTTATCCACAAACGGGTCCAGGATTAAGCTCAAAAGTTTTTATCAGTCAGATTTCACTGTGAAAATAGTCTRTTTTATCCCCTTTTATGAGTTTTTGGACGTTTGTGTTATGATTTTTGCCTGCCTGCCCAGTCCTGCCTCTGTTTTTGTTGTTTTGCTATCCACAGTTGTTTCTCATGCCAAGTTCTCAATCAGCCCTCTGCTCCTGTCACAGCCAGTACTAATTACTGACCCACCGCTCCCCCTCCCTCCTGCAATCAGCTCATTCCACTCACCTGTTCCCCTCAGTATATATTCCTGCTCTCACCCTCACTTCCCTGCCAGTTTGTCATCAGCCTTGTACTGTTACTTACCAGCGTTTCTTGTCCTCATACCTTGCTCTTTTCTTGTGGTCCTGATCCCCTGCCTGTCCTTTGGTCTCCTGATTCTTGCCTCAGCCCCTATCAGATTTGTCCAGCCATCTGTCCTCCTGGTTTTGACCCCAGCTCTGTGTTTTGGATTATCGCCTCTTGTCTCCCCCCTTGCTGGCATCACTGCACCTCAGATCACCTGGTTTGTGACCCATGCCTGTCCCACAGATTTTCGGACTCCGCTCAGCCCCTTGRTTCTGGTAMACAAAGCTCTCTTTCTAGATTTGACCCCTGCCTGTCTCCCGACTCTGCCTTTGCTCAACCAACCTAAACAGTCAGCCGATCTTTTTGGTGACGTCAAGATCCAGCACCAAATCCACCTGGACACTAACAGTGTAAACWRMYGGACCACTACAACTAACACCAGGTCAGTGGTTGTTTTTCTTCTGAGATTACAAACCCAGTACTGTTCTGCCACTAAAACGTCTCTCTGTGTCCAGAAGTATCCAGCACCATACCAGGCTCCTACCAGACCTTCAACCTTGACTCATTGAAGCTAAATAAATATTTTAAACTAGTTTCTGTGTTCGGTATTTCTTCAGAGCTCAAACTAAGAGTCTTAACAGTTTGACTATCTTTATGAATCGCTGCTTCCTGGTAGTCGGCGTTCSAACGAGTCACTTTTTTCTTTCCTTTTTTTTAAGCGAGTGGTTGAAGTAAACGCAGCGTCTGAGCGCCTTTAGCACAAACACTCCCACAAACTTCTGACCAATCACACCATATACTTCGTATGTGTTCTGATGTGAAGGGGGGTGAAAAATTCAACCTGCACCAGAGCCCAGAGTGACGGGGATGAGCAGGGGTGAGGGAGTGCACTCCRGTCCGGTTCGGAACTGGTTAAAGTTATTTGTTCAAATGTATGCTTATCATGGATTATTCATTTTGTAACTAAATGTTATATCAATACAGTATTTGTCATTTGTGGTGCACCAAAGCAAGAAGATGACGAGGAGAGACATGAAGACGAGCTGCGCATGTTGGCTCAGACTCTAAGAAAAAAATAAACGAGACGCAGCACTGTTTTATTCCTCATTTGCACACATCACAATGATGATTAAAACATAATTTGCAGAGAAGGGTGCATTTAAAATTAATTTTACATCCCTGGCACAGCATTTAATTAAGATAGCCCTTAAAAATATCACATTCCAACCCTTCAATCACCGATAGACGATTGAATCAAAAATCACGCCATCCCTATTTGACAAGTTATCACACTGTTACAAATAAAGTCATTTCTGAAAACTCTCTAAAATGTGGGCCTAAGTAAATATTTTCTTTGGTCTATTAAAAATAGCATCTTCTAAATGATCTTACGGCATTTGTTCTCCAGCATTCAGCCGCTGCCAGAGCTTGGACTGTTACCATGGTGACGACAGCTTCCTGTTCCGGTGGTGTGAGGAGAGCCTGTCTCAAAGTGGAGGGTGTATAATTGTACCTTGCAGCGCCATCAAGGGGACTCRTTTCAACTGCGAGGGGGCTTCACAGTGAGTGTAGTGAGTAGTGAGTAGGGAGTGGGGCGAGGGAGGAGCCACTGATTGGGAAAGGCCGCTCGTCACAGAGCACAGCTCCCCACCCCCAACGACCCGCTCCGTGACTCCAGCAGCAACAACTAGCAAACACCCGGTGAAAACCATGTCTACTGAGCTCCAAATACTACTTCTCAGTGCACCCAAGGGAACTACACAGAGCTTCCAGCTGTCCTCCCTGTAATCGCTCCGATTCTTTAGAAAACATACTCTCCGGTCCGACAGTAAGGTTCAGATGTATCCTGWGATGTAATTTTCCAAAACCGATCTTGAATAATTTTGCTTCTTTTTTTATTATCATTACAACAAAGCATGCTACAACACTCCAGCTTGTAAACAGCAGAGAAGCAGCTGTGATGACGTGCTGAAACGGGCGTGACGAGATCAGGAGGTTCTTAAAGAGACAGAGGCCTTTTTCAAGGTGTTTACAAACAGAAATGATGAGAAGTCAAGTTTATCTTTGATTTAAACATAAAAACAGCATTTTAATAACAACTGAAGGTGACGTAGATACTTTATTATGGTATAGAATTTAAATATATGCCTGAGAAATACATAATATTGCCTCTTTAACTGAACTACTGCACTGAACTGTAGTACAGTGATGTGCTGTGTGTGTGTGTGTGTGTGTTGTTGGTGGGTGTGTGTTGTTGGTGGGTGTGTGTTGTTGGTGGGTGTGTAAACATACCGACGCGAGGTCTCGATGTACGGGCAGGAGCAGGGCTTGCAGTCATCAGGATGACCTCGGCTTGGGTCACCAAAGAATCCAGGGCGACACTTGTCGCACTGTGGGCCCTCTGTATTGTGTTGGCAGCTCTGTGGAGAAGCAAATACACAGCTCATTCCTTCATTCCTTTTAAATTAAACAGACCATTTTACATTTACAACCTCATTTCCAATAAGAAATAAATGCATATTTSTTCTTACTCTAAAATGTATTTAAAAAAAAGAACCCTCATCATGCAAAACGTTTTTTTTAGATATTGTTGATAGTTGATAGACTTCTAGTTGTTCAGGCAAATACCTCCTATTTCCATTATKAATCATTACATTACATTTGAGTGTTTTCAACTTTTTATAAAAATGATCAATATTTGATGGGCTCAGCATAAAATGAGACAGACGTAAAAACAAAACAAAACAAAAAACAAACAAAAAAAAAAATACAACAACAATAAAACTGGCTCCAGTATTGTGGCTGGCAGTTATGTTGGACATGCATTAATTAGGCTTCTAAGTCATTGTTTCTGAAACTGTAATTTTCAGTTTCTTATCTAGACATTAGGCTTCTTGTAGAGTCTAGCTGGGCTGGTAGCTAGTTGGTAAACAGCATTTRCAGGTAAGTGGCCATAATGTCTTTGATCACAGACAAGAGTATTCAATTTCTGTACATGAGTGTGCAATAGGAAGGTTGCCTATTTTCTGGCAATACTAAATTAAGTTTGAGTCACCAGCTACATACATGGACACAATTGTTGGTACCCCTCTTTTAATGAAAGAAAAACCCACAGTGGTCACAGAAATAACTAGAATCTGACAAAAGTAATAATAAATAAAAATTCTATAAAAATGAACAAACGAAAGTCAGACATTGTTTTTCAACCATGATTCAACAGAAAAGAAAACTCGTGAAACAGACCTGGACAGAAAATAATGCGATCAAAGGGTCATGTTAAATCAAGGTGTGTCCACTATTTATCATCACAGGTGTCAACAGTCTTGTAATCAGTCAGTGGGTCTGTATATAGGCCTACAGATACTCACTGTGCTGTTTGGTGACATGGTGTGGACCACACTCAACATGGACCAGAGGAAAACAAGGAAAGAGTCGTCTCAGGAGATTAGAAAGACAACTATACACAAGAATGTTAAAGGTAAAGGTTATAAGACCAGCTCCAAGCAGCTTAATGTTCCTGTGACTACAGCTGCACAGATTATTTAGAAATTTAAGATCCATGGGACTGTAGCCAACCTCCCTGGACTTGACCACAGGAAGAAAACTGATGACAAATCAAAKMGATGGATAATATGAACAAAAGAGTCAGAAAAGCTTCAAAAGAGATTAAAGGTGAACTTCAAGCTCAAGGAACATCAGTGTCAGATCACACCATCTGTCATTGTTTGAGACAAAGTGGACTTAATGGGAGACGACCAAGGAGGACACCAAATAATAAAACAGTTAAGGAGTCCATTATTTATGTCCAGGTCAGTTTCAAGCGTTTTTTTTAATTCACTTGAAACATGGTTGAAAAGCAATGTCTGAGTTTCATTTGTTCATTTTATAGAATTTGTGTTTATTGTTACTTTTATCAAATTCAAGTTTTTTCTGTGAACATTGTGGGTTTTTGAACAAGGGGTCCCAACAATTTTGTCCATGTGTGTATTTTCCAACTGTCTCAGCCAGCCCCAGTGAGATATCACCTTGAAAAACACTCTCACCTTAATATTTAATATGCCTGCTAAGTCAGCCCTTACCAGACAGTGTCCACTTATTGGATCGCAGGTCGTTGCATGTCCATAACAGTTACAGCCAGAGCAGGTGCCAAGATATGAGCCCCCGGGGACACGCTCAAACCCAGAGGAACACATTTCACAGGACAGGCCTGCATATCCAGGAGGACAGCTGGAAATGAGAAAAATAAGCATCATTGTCTATGGAAAAAATTCACATCTGACTGAAACTAACAAGAGGCAATTTACAACATCAGAAACTGTAAACTTGCTTAATATAGTGAAGAAGGAACAGATGTAGGAAACCAGCCAAAACTGAGAAAAATCAGATGCAATGATGATATTTGTGACTCGTCACATCCGTCCGTTTTCTTCCTCTTATCTGGGATCGGGTCTCGGGGGCAGCAGCCGAAGCAGAGAGACCTAGACTTCCTTCTCCCCAGCCACTTGGGCCAGCTCATCCGGAGGAATCCCAAGGCATTCCCAGGTCAGCTGAGACACAGTCCCTCCAGCRTGTCCTGGGTCTTCCTCTGGGCCTCCTCCCGGTGGGACATGCACGAAACACCTCACCAGGGAGGCATCCAGGAGGCATCCTAACCAGATGCCCGACCCACCTCAACTGGCTCCTTTGGACGTGGAGGAGCAGCAGTTCTACTCTGAGTCCTTCCTAGACGACTGAGATTCTCACCCTATCTCTAAGGGAAAACCCAGACACCTTGTGGAGGAAACTCATTTCGGCCGCCTGTATCCGCTGTCTCGTTCTTTCAGTCACTACCCAAAGTTTGTGAACATAGATGAGGGTAGGAATGTATACTGACCGGTAAACCGAAAGCTTCGCCTTCTGGCTCAGCTCCCGCTTCACCACGACAGACCGGTACAGCTCCCGCATCACTGCAGACACAGCACCAATCTGCCTCATTCATGAACAAGAGCCCAAGATACTTAAACTCCTCCACTTGATGCAGGACCTCCTCCCCGACCCAGAGAAGGCACCCACCGTTTTCCGGCTTAAGACCATGGTCTCAGATTTGGAGGCACTGWTCCTCATCCCGGYCGTTTCACATTCGGCTGTGAACCGCTCCAGTGAGAGCTGGAGATCAGGATCTGATGAAGTCAATAGGACCACATCATCTGCAAAAAGAAGAGATGTGATCCTAAGGTCACCAAAAAGGATCCCCTTAACACCTTGGCTGAGCCTAGAAATTCTGTCCATAAAAGTTATGAACAGAATTGGTGACAAAGGACAACCTTGGTGGAGTCCAACTCTCACCGGAAACAAGTCCGACTTACTACCGGCAATGTGGACCAAGCTCATAGGTACACATACCCGGACCTGTGAGGAATGTCATATTCCCGGAGTATGTTAAATCCCACAGGACTCCCAGAGGGACACGGTAAAATGCCTTCTCCAAGTCCACACATGTAGACTGGTTGGCTGAACTCCCATGCACCCTCCAGGACCCTGCTGAGGGTGTAGAGCTGGTCCGCTGTTCCAGGACCAAAACCACACTGCTCTTCCTGAATCCAAGATTTGACTATCCGACGGACCCTCCTCTCCAGGACCCCTGAATAGACCTTACCAGGGAGGCTCAGAAGTGTGATCCCCCTATAGTTGGAATACACTCTGTGGTCCCCCTTTTTAAATAGGGGGACCACCACCCCGGTCTGTCAACCCAGGGGAACTGCCCCCGATGTCCACGTGATATTGTAGAGTCGCGTCAACCAACACAAACCCACAACATCCAGAGCCTTAAGGAACTCAGGGCGAATCTCATCCACCCCCGGCACCTTGCTGCCAAGGAGCTTTTTAACCACCTCAGTGACTTCGGCACCAGAGATTGGAGAGTCTGCTTCCTCATGGGAAGACGTGTTGGTGGGATTGAGGAGGTCTTCGAAGTATTCTGCCAACTGACCCAAAACGTCCAGAGTTGAGGTCAGCAGCGCACCATCCCCACCATAAATAGTGTTGGTGGCGAACACCCCCCACCCCCCCAGACACCAGATGGTGGACCAACTGTGTGGAAGTCTTTTTCCATGGCCTCTCCGAACTCCTCCCACACCTGAGTTTTTGCCTCAGCGACCACTCGAGCCGCAATCTGCTTGGAATGCCGATACCTATCGGCTTCTTCCGGAGTCCCACAGGCCAAAAGGGCCTGATAGGACTCCTTCTTCAGCCTGACAGCATCTCTCACCGCCGGTGTCCACCAGCGGGTTTGAGGGTTGCCAGCACGACAGGCACCGACAACCTTACGGCCACAGCTCAAGTAATACGCCTTGACAATGGAGGTACGGAACATGGCCCAATCAGACTCTGTACCCCACCTCCCCCGGAACATGTTCAAAGTTCTCCCGGAGGTGTGAGTTGTTGACTCGTCACATCAAACTGAGAACTAACTCCTGAAACCTTTGATTTCATTCTTTGTTTATCATTGTTTTATGTACCTGTTTTCTGATTTGTAAACTAATTTGATTATTATTTTTATGACATGTGCTGCTGACCTCTTGGCCAGGTCACCATTGGAAAAGAGATCTTGATTTCRGTGGGTTCTTATCTGGTTAAATAAAGGTGATTCATTGATTGAKTTATTGAAGTCGCAAAGTGGTGTGTGGAGAAATGGGCAGCTATAGTGCATTGGTTAAAAYGTTTGCAACAATTGCATTTTGTCACAATATAATGAATAACTACCTTATCTACGAGTCATTATTGAAGCCCCTTTCTGAGCAGAGAAAGAAAAACTACTAATTGTACATAGCACCTCCCTGGAGCTCAGTCCTCAGCTGGATCTCCTTCCTGGAGCTCAGTCAATTTCAAGGCATTTTCAAAACTGAAGGTAACATAGTTACTTGATTATAGTACAGAATTGAATTACATGACTGAAAATTACACAATACCCCCCTTTAATTTCCAAATATTTTTGAGGTTTCCTCTTCGATATTACAAAAATTGTCCTGGGTCATCCCTAGAGAGATATCTGGGAGACACCCTAACCAGATGCCTGAACCACCTCMTCTGGCTCCTCTCCATGTAATGGAGCAGCAGCTCTACCCTGAGGCACTCCCAGATAACTGAACTTCTTGTGTTGTTTTAATGAAAGAAAATGACCACATGATCACATGATCTTGTACCAGGTTATGGAATAATTACATGTAATACCCACTGAAGTACATGTACATGTAATGTACAGTGTATAGACTGACAGACTTTTCATTGACATTCCTCAGCTGTATTTGGGTTCATATATTGTCAATATATTGTCACGTGGTGGATCAGTGACACACACATGAACAAAATGTGACAGTTTTCACCCTCAGCTGTTAACATTCATGTTGATCAATAACATTTATGGACCTCAGTTAGTGCTTCTAAATTTAGCCTATAAATCTAGCAAGTGCTAATCCACTAATAAATTTTAAAATTAGCAAAAGCCCTAAAGCAGAGGTTCTCAAACTGGGGTCCCAGGACCCCCAGGGGTCTGTGACAGGTATCTTGGGGGTCCTCAAAAA